GGTCCATAACTCACTGCCACATGATAAATTCCCCATCCTCAGGAGAGAAGCCCTTTCAATTTAATATGAAGGATTCATCATGTCTCCTCTTGAGCCAGGGGAGGGGTGGCGAGTTCTCATGTTGTGGTAAAATAGAAGTAATGCGAGTTGTTTCTGCTTGCTTGTTCCAAAGCTCAGTAAGACATGAAAGACACATACACTCTTTTCTGAGACAGGGTTGATTTTATTACTGATTTATTTTACTGTCTTCACTTACATTATTTTCTTCTGTAGGTGCTGCCACTGTTACAAAGATGTACCAGGGTGCACTGATGGCGGCTAATGTGCACAACAACAATCATCTACCTCTACATAAAAGGATATGAGTTGTATGTGGCTCATCAGTAAGTTTAACACTGACAGTTCCACACTCTAAACACCCATCTGAAATTCCATGGGGAGAAGGTAACACTTTGGAGGACTCTTTCAGAGCTAAAAACAGTAGGCAAGGGAAGAGTAATTCGCCTACTTCTCCCTGCCACTTTTCTGCTCTAAACTGCCTTCTCCTAAAGCAGCTTTTCCTGATCGAAAAGAGCAATTTGGTTACTGTCACAAGCCCCTGCATTTGATGCACTCGGAGCTCAATTGGTCCTAATCCCAAATACTACAGTATTAGGATACATGTCATAGAATATTATGATAGTATTTTTAGGATAGGAAATAAATACAGATTTTTGTTGTTATTTGCCAGATAACTTGCTGACACTATTATCTATAAAGAACCCATAGCAGATATGTTAATAATTTTAAAATAAACAGAACTGTACTTCAGTTTCAAATACAAAGCCTCTCAGGTGTCTAGTACATGAACCTCTCACATGTCTAGTACACATGAATAGGCTAATTAAGAGGGTGAAGGCCTAACCACTTAAACCCTATCCATTTCACAGGGAAGGATTTGTGCAAAAGGTTCACACTCCTTGAAGATCAATGGGACTTAACTTTGAGTGCTTAACATTGACCATAATCAAACTTTTCAAAATTTATTATCAAAGAAAACATTTGTTGCTGTTGATTTTCCGGGTTGTGTGGCCATTCTCTTGGCATTGTAGAACCTGACATTTCACCAGTAGCTGTGACTGGCATCCTCAGAGGTATAACACAGAAAGATGGAGTACTCTCTGTGTCACGGTGAGAAGAGAAATGGTAGGCAGGTAATTCATATCTACTCCAGAAGGTGGGGTAGGGCTGAGTCATTATCTTGTAGGAGTTCCCCAGGCTATGAACATGCTAATGGAGGAGCTTTCCTGAGGAGGTTCTTTTGTATATGGATTGTTTCTTGAGGTTTCCTGTTTCTTGATGAGATTCTTTTGGCTGTTGAAATTCTAATCTTATCTATAGTGCTATTGTCAGATGTAGAGCCTTTTGTGTTTTTCAGGACAGGAAACCATGCCCTATTTATTTTTAAACTCTCTTCTTTCCTGTTGAAATTGTGTTTATGTTTATGAAAGCATTCTCTCTCACAGAAAACTAGAGACAAGACAAATGGGGCTATCATAATTTCCCCACATTTGGAAAAAAATTCTCCATGAGACATTTGTATGTGTGGATTATCCAGAAAGACATTTATGGTGACTTCTTAAAAGCCTTTTGACACAGTCACATAGAGCAATCAAACAACAGAGCACACACCTGCTTAGCTAAAGGAGGGAGATATTTATATTTGTTTATATTTGAATAAAAGTTGAGTAGGTATAACCAACAGCCTGTATTTATAGGCAAGATATAGAAATTCTGAGTCAAGATGTAGCAAATCTGGAATGTAATACCTTTACTAATTTTCAGTAGATGCATAAATGTTATAGGATTTCTATCAGTGTTTTTGTTGTAGCCTCTGCAGCCTGGGCTGCACTAATCCTGTGTTCAGCACTCTGTAGTGTGACCTCCACAACAGTCCCATGCTCAGATGCCAAAACACTCTGTTCTATTAATAATTCACCCCTCTCATCTAGCTGTGGATTATATTCTATAAAACTCACTGACATATGCTACAGTTTCTCTTTCTTTCATGCAAACTCAACATATATATATCCAGAAAGACATTTTAAAACAGGAGACAAATTATTTTAAGGTTACACCATTTGCAAATTTGCTGTTAAACATCCCAGTAATCAGTTCTGGCTTTATTGGTGATTGTTTTTTAAAAGGAAGCTGATTTTTCAAAAATTAATCTTTTAATCTAGAAAGCTTTATCACTAGTTTTCTTGTATGTTCAGTTTTCCTAATAAAGCTCAAGGAGGACCAGCCTAAGACCTAGTGATAGTTGAAACCTTAATTCATACCTCAAGAAAACAGTGTATTAGTATATTGCAACAAACAGAGTATTGGGACACTTTAAAAACTAACAGATGTCTTGTCCCATACATTTCCACAAACCAGAGCTCACTAAATCAGGAGTGGTTTCTGAACATTCATGTCACAGTACATCTATTAGTCTTCAAGGTGCTGCAAGATTTGTTGCTGTTTTGTTGAATTAGATGAGGAGTAGCCTGAATGGAACCGAAAGCCAACTGAGCATGAAGTAGATCTTCTCAGAGGAGTAAGGAACCCAAACCCGCAACAGATAAACCACAGGCTGAAATTAGCCACAGATCTACAACCCATGGCAACACTGGTGCAGGAGCCTTTCTTTATACCTGGAAGGGTCACAGATGCTTGGGAAACAATCTGTGAATGATCCAAAATAGTCAACAAGGGTAAATGAACCAGCTAAGACTTCCTGTCTTCTTGTATACAAATGTTATACTGGATAACCAGATTTATATGACAAGACTTCTGAATCTTGCTTTTGTGAACAAGCATGAGTCTTCGGGCTATTCAAATAGATATTTGCAATAGTATCTGCAATAGCCAGTGGACTATTTTTAATTTTGAATGTATTTAAAGTATTGGCATATTTAAAAGCAGCAATGGTCACCATTTATTTATCAGAAATAAAAAATTTCTTTAGATATTTATACCATGTGTTCTCTTCCAATGAGGACCCAAAGTGGCTTTCAAGTTTGTTTCCCCATCCTCTGTTTTATTCTCACAACAAAAATGATGTGAGGCAGATCAGGCTAAGAGGGTGTAATGAGCCCAAGGTTACTCAGCAAGCTTCCACGGCAAAGTGGGAGTTCAGATTATAACATGCTGATTATTATAATACAACAGATAATGAGAATTTTATTGCTGATGCCACAGAAAGGATAAACAAAGATTCCCGTCCCAAACACACTAACAGACAGACAAGCCCACTGACACATAGTCTCAAGGCTGCGGCCTTAAGAGTCACAGGAAGTACAGCTCAACCAATACACAGGGTCGCTAACCTCGAGGCAGGACCAGGAGTTCTCCCAGAATTACAACTGATCTCCAGACTACACAGATCAGTTCTCCTGGAGGAAATGGCTCCTTTCGAGGATGGACTCTATGGAATTGCATTCGTGCTGAACTCTCTCCCCAAACTACCTTCCCCAAGCACCACCTCCGAATCTCCAGTTGTTTACCAAACCAGAGCCGGCAACCGTACCAGCACACTAAGACTAAAAAGTCCTGTACGGGCCCCACTCAAATTCACAGGAGCTACCCTGGAGCATGCAAAAAAATCTGCATTATCCTTCAGGGGGAATAATTAATCTAGGGAAACTGTGGATCAGTACCTAAGCACATTATTACCATAGCTATTTTTTGACTTCTTAAAATGCAATGATGACTTTTATGCTTGAGATGGAATGACACATCCACATAAGGATCTTTTAGCATTTTTTTAAGTTAGTCTCATGTGATGATTTAAATCAACCCCGGAATGCAACACTTCCGAAATTGGATTTTCAGATAATCTAATAAAATGATACAAACAACTCTACAGCAGCAGTACTCTGACTTAATTAAATCAAAAGAAATTTTGTTTGTCTGCCCCAAGGAAATTACCTAGGTTGACAAACTGCCACACCAGATGATGTACTTCAGAATGCAGCTGATCTACACCTGTAATATCAGGCATAAAACAGAGGAAATGGCTTTGGAACCACCAGACACTGTTTGCCTGAACAACAGCGGAAATAAAAGGATTCTTCCCCGTCTCAGCTGTACTGGATTTTAATACCACTTTAATAACCAAAAGCTAGTGGCCACTTCCTGAGACACAGGTAACTGCAGAGTCAGCCACACAGATTCCTTTGATACATTCTGATATCACTTGGATCACTCAGATTGTCAGGATTTGCCATGTGTGCTTCAATCCCTCAAAAATAGCAAAACTCAACTTGAATTAAATATACTAAATACCATGCCAAGCTCATTTGGAATTAACTGGGGGGAAACTATAGGCTACAATCCCTCAAACACTTCCCTGGGAGTAAGTCCCACTAAATAAAATTGGACTTACTACCAAATAGATCTTCTCCAGGGGCACATTTTTGCCTTACAATAGCTCAAAGTACTCAGCAGTGCTTCACACTATTGTGTGAACTGCAGCAAATCAAAGTGTGTTTATATATAAATCACTTAAGAATTACCATCCCAAATTTTCAGTGCTCGTAACAAAATCTTGATAGAAACTGGAAACTTTCCCAAGATTGGTTATGAACAACTACAGATGAGGTAACCTATACACTCTCTCTCTCTCTCTAGAACTTCAGCTACTAAAATGCTTCACTCCCATTAAATCAAACTCATTTTTCTAAGGAGTCTAGTATTTCAGAACTGTGGACCAGTTTTGCTGTTACCTAGCAAAGCTAGCTAATGCTCATAAAATGTACCCTTCTACAAAGTTTATCTTGTATAAAACAGCCACTTCGCTTTTTCCAGTGCAAAGGAGAGTCATGCAGGTTATAAATGGCACTTAGCCAGCCTCACAGCAGCTTGTACAAACTGTAGCACCGCACCAGCACAGATGCACAGACACACATACATTGCAATAATGTACACCCAGCAGGAGAAATAAACATTTTTAATCCAGAAAAGAAGTAGTAACTTACCATTAATCAGTAGCACAAACATATTCTCTAGTCTGGTTTCACAAAGCACTCAGATCCAAGAACAAAAAATGAGGAAGCGTGAGTCTTTCATTCCGCTTCTGGCTCAGAAAGTGGGTGTAACTTGTGAAGTTTCATGCTAACTAGAGATGGGTCATTTGGGTGTGTTTGAAAGGTTCTCTCTCACCCACCTCCTCCCCTTTCTCCTCTCACTAGTTTGCATTTTCACACAGAGAAGAAAGCAGACACTTGGGATCTTTCTCAGCCTTTTAAGTTTCCCCAGTTCTAAGTAACCCAGAAAACCCCATCAAGGTCTCTTGAATTAAGAAACTGAAGCATATGTGAGTTTTGCTGGTAACTAATGGTATGGCAGACAGCCAGAGACAAACGAAGCATCCGAAATGGCAGCTTGGCTAATTTGAAAGGTTGTGTTCCAAACAGGGTTTCCAACTCCTGGTTGGGAAATCCCTGGAGATTTGGAGTGGGGCCTGGAGAAAGAGGAATCAGCAACGTATAAGGCCACTACAGAATCTACTCGCCAAAGCATTTGTTTCCCCCACCGCCCCAAGGAACTGATCTCTGTAGTCTGGAGATCAGTTGTAATTTCAGGAGAACTGCAGGCTCCACCCAAAGGCTGGCAACCATAGTTCCAAAGGCAACAGACTGAGGCCAAGGAATCATGAGGGGAAATCTAACAAGAAAAAACAGTGGTCCATTCTTTACAACAGAACTAGATTTAGAATCATGATATCCTTGCCAATCACTGCAAGTGAGATTTCGCATACTTTTAGTGAGAATATTGTGAGACAGTTGAATTTTCCTCAATAAAATTGGTTTAATCTGTGAAATATTAAGCTGAAATATATATTTAAATTATTCTCCCCCATACATAGTTCCCGTCTCTTTTTCGAATATTTTATGGTGCAAATTAATTAGGATCTAACTTAAACACATTTATTTGATTTTTAAAATGTGCCATGTTATGTGCCATATAGTGTCAGAATTTTTTTTCCCAGTAGGCAGCAGCTGACTAACTGAAATATTTGATTAGGAACAAAAATTCAACAAAGCATACTTAATGCAGTTTAAATTTTGCAAGATTTTTATACACCTCTGCAGGGCAATCACCAGTTTTGAAACTGCCGCATTTGATTGGTATTGTATTTGTACATCTATCTACATTTTTATCCTCTCATCCCACCAAGGAGCTCAGAGGGATACATGATCCCCTCCTTTTTCCTTTTTCTCCTGGCAACAACCTTGTGAGATAGATCAGACTAAGAGAGAGTAACTAGCCCAAGGTCACCCAGAGAGCTTCATGGCCAAACTCCGGACTAAGACACAAAACACCACAGTCCTAGTTCAGCATTTTAACGCATTCAATTATTACCTGTGTAAAGCAATGGTCTTTTAGAAATTTCTGATGGCAACCAGGGCCGGTGCCAGGTTTTTTTGCACACTAGGCGAGGCTACCTTCTGGCGTCCCCTCCCCATTCAGCCACCAATTTTCAAATTGGTGTCTATGCCACCTCCTCACTGGTGTGTGCTTCTAAACCCTGTCCTTCTAAGCCAGTTTGGTGCAGTGGTTAAGAGTGGTGGACTCTAATCTGAGACCCGGGTTTGATTCCCCACTCCTCCATATGCATCCAGCTGGGTGGCCTTGGGCCAGTCACAGCTCTATCAGAGCAGTTCTCTCAGAGGCCTCTCAGTCCCACAGGGTGTCTGTTGTGGGGAGAGGAAGGGATTGTAAGCTGCTCTGAGACTCCCAGTGAAGGGCAGGGTATAAATCCAAACCTCATTATTAGTCTTTGTCAGGCCACTGCAGCAGACTACATGAGCACAATCAGCTTCCCCAAAGCCTCACAAGAGCTAGCTGATCTCAGGGGACTCTCAGGCTGCCCCTCCAGCCTTGTTCCCTCCTACCCACCATTCTCCTGGCCGGGATAACCTGATGGATGGAAGAAAACTGTAACAATTAGCTCTATGTACTGTAATAAAGGAAATATACCACAGACACTGAGGTCTCCTCTAGATTTCTAACATATTAATTATATAAACACACATTACAGGCCACTAAATGCAAAACACAATCACCAAAAATAATGCACAAACTAGATAAAGTCTCGTATATAAAGGTTCAAGTAATCTCAGATCACTTCTACCACCCCCTCCCTGGTTTTTTACGAAGTTTTTTAAATCAATACTTCAAAAGCCAGAGGGGTCTAGTGCCTTTTACGCCAAGCATTAGTTTAAAGTAATATAAGACCACTAGCAGTAAAGCCCGTTGTGGAAATAAATACAATGAGATCTAGAAAGAGGCTCTGGGGGAGTGCTCTGGCTTTGGGCAAACAGTGTCATTTTGCTGTGGTGACCTCAGCAGGGTATAATGGCAGAGTCCACTGTTTTCTCCAGAGGAACTGATCTCTGCTCCCTGAAGAGCAGTTGTAATTTTGAGTGATCTGTAGCCCTCACCTGGAAATTGGCAACAATTGTTACCCAGGACGAAATGGCTGGTTTGGAGAGTGGCGTCTATGGCATTCTACCTGTCTGAGGTCCCACCCCTCCGCAAACCCCACCCTCTACAGGCTCCACCCCTCAAACCCCCAGGAATTTGCCAGCCTGGAGTTGGCAACCCCATCTCCTTCCCAGCTAACCATCAACCTACCATTATCTGCCCCTTTGACTTCAGCTGACTTCCGCCCTCCCTTCTGCAGAGCAATTGTAATTTTGAGTGGTCTCCAGCCCTCACCTGGAGATTGGCAACAATGGTTCCCCATGAGGGACTGAGTGGTTTGGAGGGTGGAGTCTATGGCATTGTACCTGTCTGAGGTCCCACCCCTCCTCAAACCTCACCCTCTTCAGGCTCCATCCCTCAAATCTCCAGGAATTTCCCATCGGGAGTTCAGCGAGGCCAGAACTCCAGAAGCCCTCCCATCATTGACACTTAGTTGTAAGGCATTCTGAGTGCTGGCTTGGACGGTACAGAAGTGGTGTCATGGGGCCAAGTACCCTGCTCCTGCCCCGGGGCCCACAGGACAAACCCTCCCCGCCAGCAGTGCCGTCACCCTGCAATGCACCCCAACACCCCAACTCACCAGCGTTGGCAGAGAAGGGAGGGACAGAGGGAGACACGGAGCCCGGCAGCAGCAGCAAAAAGGCGCCCCTGAGCACTCAGGAGGGAGAAACCGCCCAGAGAGCCATCCCTCCTTCGAAGTTCCCAAAGTTTATACTCACTAACTCAAGGTCAGGAAAGACCACACAGAATTGTCGCTGGCAGGCAGCAGCCACAAAGCAGCAGCAACCACAGTGTGAGTCCGGCGGCGCTGAGATGAGAAGGGCAGGCAGGGAGAAAGCCACGTGCAGAGCACCTGGAGACTGGCGCTGTGCAGCAGGGACGAACACAAGGCGGCGGAGGAAGGAGCGCAGGCGCAGCGGAAGTTAGAGAGGGTGGAGCACAGCACAGGGTCGGAAAGGGCGCCCCGGACGGGCTCTGCCGGACACTGCAGGCATGGGGAAAGAGCCTGGAGGGTGCCGGGGCAGCAGACGTGCCTCTGCGGTGACTGGGGGAGGCAGGTGCAGCAACAGTCCTTGGCGGGCAGGAGCAGCCCGGAAATGAGCAGCGGACGGCAGGCCAGCGCTCTAGGCAACCACCTAAATTTGGTCTATGACGGTCCAGGCCTGATGGCGACAAAGCAGTGGAATATATTCCACCCCACATCACTGGTGCAGTTCAGTAGGACTTAGGTGAAGTTCATTTTACATCACAAAATTTCAGCTACAGTACAAAACATTCAAGGAAACAGTTCTGTGTGAATGCTTTTCTCACAGAGAAAGCTTGCACTTCTGACTGTGGGATAAATGCAAACATGTCACCTTAATTATTAAAAAGAAGCATGCACACACATGCAAGCCACTTTCATTTTTTTATTTTTAACCTTCACACCCCACATCACAAAAGTTTCTATCTTAACCTTCTTTTCCACTGCTACATGCTCAGAAATAATCACTGTGATGACCTGAGACTTATTTCCACCACCCACAACTGAAGGAATACTTCTACCACAACACTAATACACAGAGGCCAACAAAGCAGAAAGTGGTGTCCTCATGGACAGAATGTATATAGGAGGCTGCAAAGTAAATTTCAAAAACTGTATTTTATGGACTACTATTTTCATTAGCAAATGTACACAGACATATTCCAGGAGTCTTGACCAGGAGCCTTCTATCTGCAGCCTGAAGTACTCATTGCTTCTGGCACTATCATGGTAGGAAACCAGATGGAATCACAGTGTAAATAACATAGTAAGTACAAAAAACAAGCACTGTCATATTTAAGCTACTATATGTTATATTAGATAAATTTACAAATTCCATTGGCATGAAGAGATAACAACAACAACACTAATCAAGGTTGTTATTGTGCTAGTACTGTGCATATTAATGCCCATGAATTAAGCTGGAACATTTTTAATACTCTCAGAATTATTTAACCTTACTGTTATAGAGAACATATATTATTAAGACTCACCTCTTGTTGCAATTCAACTTTTATACATGGAGCAAGCCAGTCCCTTTTCTTAAACAAGGACAAAACCTTCTATTTCATAGCTGGAACTATGCTCTGCCATAATACAAGCAACTTAGCCTTAAGTAGAAAATGTTTCATCTTAATTCATGGGCATTAATATGCACAATATTAGTACAATAACAACATTGATTAGTGTTGTTATTGCTATATCTTCCTGTCAATGACATTTGTAAATTTATCTAATATGAAGTATAGTAGCCTCAGTATTCCAGTGACCATCATGGTAGGAGCATCTGTGCCCTCAAGCTTTGTACTACCGGTATCCCTAGTTATTGAAACAACATCACCAACTTCCGGAGGAAATTTAAATTCTCACAGGAAATACCCCCCAGCAACCACTGCTGTACAACACTTATACACCAACATCCTCCACGAAGACAGGCTACAAGCTATGAGGAATGTTATCCCAGATAATACCATAGTCCAACTGGCCACCAAGCTTTGTAACTTTTTACTCATCCTCAAATAGTTCAAATTTGGAGATAGCTTGTCTCT